TGTAGTGAATTTACACAATCAATGCAGCAAACAGGCAGCAACAATTTGTCGTCCTATTCCTCGGCCGCGTGCGCTCAGCCGAATAGCCCTATTGTGCAAATGGACAATCCCAACCTCTTTTCCAGTGTACACATTAAACCAGAACCAGAGGCCACTTCTTCCTATAATACCCTATTTTCTCGTGATTTCACGCAGCAACCGAGTTCTTCATCTTCCACTCCATCTGGACCAAATGATCTCTCCCTGACAAAAGGACACGCATGCGAAGTTTGTCATAAGGTTTTTGCTGATGTACGTGATCCTTTATGATACCTTATTAACGGGTGATTTTCCGGAGGATGTGTGTGCACTTACTATGTTTTTTTTGTTCCTGCTGTGATTAAAATCCTTTTTTTTATTTTAGCGCTCCCTTCTTTCAAAGCATAAAATCGCTCATGCTGAGGCAAAACACATTTGCAGCACTTGTGGGCGGGCTTTTGTAAGAGAGGACAAACTTCGGAGGCATATTCGATCGGTTCACAGCAGCGAACGCCCCTACGTTTGTGATGTTTGTTCTAAGGCATTTGCTCGGAAGTAAGTTGCTTCTCGTCGCGCCTCTGCTTGCCTGTGATGCATCTTGTAAACCTGTCAATTTTTTTCGCAGAGACAAGCTGCAAGAACACGCAAAGCATCACAACAAGGATATAACATTTCCATGCCCGGTATGCAGTGAAGTCTTTCTTATGAGGTCTATTCTCAACCGCCATCTTCGCACAGAACATCACATTCGACAAACCCCAGATTCTGTGAAATCTGTTCCTTTGAAGACTGGGCAGCAAGAGAGTAAGTATCATTGACATAAGCGAAAACACTTTTAAATATGGATTGTCATTTTTTGTAACTGGCAAATTACGTCATCGTAGAGCCATGTTATGCTGGTCAATGTTGGTAAGTTGGTTCATTTTATGAGTCGACTTGGCCATTTGTTTTACAATCATGTACTGGTTCTGCGTGTTCTTCGTGCTTTATTTTAATTTCCACCTTCACAGCTTCAAAGTAAGTTGCGATCTAAAGGCTTACTCGGTGTTGTTTTAACTCCTCCGTATCCTTTAACTCTAACACTTGAGTGTTTAACCTCTTTTAGCTTGTGAGCATTCCTAAAAATTACCCTTAAAATTTCACGTTTAGTTTTTTTTTCCACTAATTACTTACACCCGTTGATCGTTCGTTTTCAATGTGTCTATCACGCATACCTCAAGTTATTGCAATCTCGCTCCACACTTTGCAGACATTCTTCAAACCTCGGTAACCACTGGCAACAAGAGGAAACGCGCAAGGCATCAGTCGCTGGTTGACATTTCAAAGCTTTCGTCAGACAAGTCGAGTACCGATGCTGCTGCTGCTGCCGCGGCCGCAGCCTATTATCAAAACGGTGGATGGAACGCGGCCAACCTCCTCCTTTATAATCGCTACCAGCAGCAACAACAACAGCAACAGCAAACTCAACAGCAACTCGACTTTTGGCACGGTGGCAATGGCTATTTTTATGCATCCCAAAACGCGGCTGCAGGTTACCACTTCCCGACCGCTCAGTATGCGGCTGCTATGCGACAACAGCAGCAGCAACAACAACAACAGCAGCAGCATCCCAACGCTGGTACCGTTTATAATGCCGCCGCCGCTGCTGCAACACCTTCGGCGTTCTCCGCTGCTGTGGCTGCAAGGCTTTTTTCGCCAGCAAACTATTGGTGGCCGCAGGTAGGCTCAGACTATTCGATTTCTTGGGTCGGTATTCGCCACATGGGGAGAAATTCATAGCTGACAAAATCTGGTATCAGGTCCCCCCCCCCATCATTGTTTCAGGAATGGTGGTCTAGCTCTCTTCCCACGTGACTATCCATGGGATATTCCTAGCATGTGGCATGCGCGTTTTGGGAAGCTGCTGGGATGCTTTTAACAACTTCGGTGTATTGCAAGGGCTTGTGTATTCTTGTTTACGGTTTTCTAGGCCGGTCAGAATTTTGTCTTCCAACAAACTGCCGCGGCTGCCACACAAGGCCTTTCGACGTCGTCTGCATCTACTATAATGCCAAGTGTGAATCCCTATTTCCCCACTGCAACGACCGCGACTGCGGCCGCCGTGGGCTCAAACCAGTCTTCAGCAGCTGTACCGGTGACGACTGACACGACATTCGCTTCGAAGGAGGCCGCGTCTTCACCCACACACCCGACACCCTTCAGCACCCAGTACTCGCCGCCTACAACCACTGCGGCGCAGTACGCCGCGTACTACCAGGCTGCGTCGCTGGCTGCGTCCTCCGCTTCTGCACACTCACCTCAGTCGACCGCCTCTCCCGGTCTTCCCTACTCGAATTAGTGTTCAATCCCTCCGTATGTGTGTGTGTGTGTGTTGCCTCCAGCATTTACCTCCTGGGCATTTATGTACTAAACCTCACACTCCCTGTTTGTACGTCGCACTCATCTCTAGAACCCCCAGCCCCCTTACTCCGTTTTTATACGCATTTCTCACCCCAACGCCCTTGGCGTGCGCTCCCACTTTTGTAAGCAACACGCGCACCACCCTGACTGTCTTGCTTTTTGCACACCAAGATGTCTTGCTTGTGTGTTCTCAATTAAGGAGAAAGGGCATTTCTAGACAGTAAAGAACATTTGTAGTAGTCCCTTCTTTGTCTCTTTTTCCGTCTGGGCTTGTGGTAGACCTGTGTTGTCAGTCAACGTCCATAGAATTCGCGTCGAGTAAACGATGTGACTGCCTAGTCATGAGCACTCTTATCTTTGTTCTTCCACCTTGCGTTTCGATTAACCTCTGGAACCTCCCTTCCAATTTACTAATTTGTAAGCATAAACTCAGTATTATCGACCAAAACTCTTGCATAACATGTTCACAACGAACCCAAGTAAGGACTTTCGATCATTAGCGCCTCTAACCCTTCTGACAACTAATCACGCATGCATTTGTGCATACACTGAGCGAAAGAACGGGTCTAAATTTGACTAGGCGTTTCACAACCGAGTCAAGAATAACTTAGATTTCATTGGAAAATTGCGTGCATGTAGTGAAGCAGAGTATCTTGCAGTTTCCCAGAGTTTTAGAACCATTTATTTGCATGAAATGAGCTGAATATTGAAAAAGAACAAGCCGCCTAATAGGATATAATTGAAGCAGCTGTTAGGACTCGGTTTCCAATGAGATTTTAAGAAAGAAATGCAAATGAGAAAGGGGGATGACACTTAAGCGTAGGCATTATTGGTACAAATCTACAGATTACCAGTCATGAAACGCACCTATGTGTAAAAAAAGTTGTAATATTGCATGACTACTTATTCTTGTCGAACATGGGATCACTTCGGTATTGCAATTTCGGCGCGTTAATGACGTCTTCCCAGTCCTTTGGGACGTCCTCTTCGCCGGAGGTGCCATCAAGACGACGTTCAAGACGCGCCTGGTCGAAGGTTTTTGTTGGCGTGGCAGACCGACTTGAAAGGCGCTCCTCACCGCGAATTTTGGATTCTAGATTGAAGCCGACAAAGCCAACCACTGCAGCAAACGGCAGTGCAATGTATGGAGAGTATACACGGATAAACTGCACGATCACAGGCCACATTCGTAGCTTAAACACAAAATAAACTTAATAAATATGCGAGCAGTTAGTTCTCGTCACCAGGTGTACTATGAGACTACTATAACGATGCAGTGGAATTTTGATTATACTAACAACACGTAATGATGGACTACACGATACTTCCTGCCAACTCGTTTGTAATTGAGGTTCTCTCGATCGGTCAAAACTTCGCAGAAGAGAGCAAACTTTCTTAATGAAAGCTCTGCATTTTAAAACAGACTACCACTTGTTAAAGTAATTATTGTTATTCACGATACACCCTAAATATACTGCCATTTAACGGCGAAACGAAATTATCACCAATAACTATTATTGCTTAATTTTGAAACCACTGGCTTAAATGTTAACCTTAAATTACGAAGATTTTATTAAAACTCATGTAGTTTTATTAGGGAATTGAGGGATAAATGCCATAAATATCTAACTACACATAGAGTTTTG